ACTCATCGCATTTGTACCAAGCTTTTTCTGACGGGATAGCCTCGAACACTTGTACATCGAGAACTTTGCCGCAATGTCACATTTTTGTTTTTCTTTATTTGGTACTATGTAGGCTACCATTTGCAGGCCAAAGAAACAAAAAAGTTAAATTCCTACGGCTTCTCCCAAAGCAAAAGGGCTTGAACAAGTCTTTATGTGGGAAAATACCGACCGTTAATTAGTTGCCGAATCGAATTTTTCGAGCGCCTTCTTTCTTTCTTGATTTGATTTTGTTTGGCAATCAGTCATAGTTGACATTTGTTGCCACACACTATTTATATATATACATAATTATGTACAATTACATGTCATAAAGGACTATTTTTAGGATTCTATATGTTATGATCATGATCTCTGCTAAGAGTAAAGTCAACAACAGGCTAGGAGCTGTTTTTTCTACACGGGCTAGCAGCTCATGAGAGGTGTATTCCGTCATGATGAGCCTAAAGCTTTGATGTTTCATTAAATTATTAGATTAAGAAGACGATTCGTTGTACCAATCTCGACTCTTAATCCTTGTCTAAATTCAGTTTCTTTTGACGTTTCATTAAATAAGAAGACGTTTCGTTGTACCATTCTCGACTCTTAATCCTTGTCTGAATTCAGTTCCCCCTTCCCATGCGAAGCGCGGAAGCTTTGACATTTCATTAAATTATTAGAGAAAGAAGACGATTCGTTGTACCATTCTCGACTCTTAATCCTTGTCTGAATTCAGTCCCCCCCCCCCTTCCCGCGCGAAGCGCGGAAGCTTTGACGTTTCATTAAATTATTAGAGAAAGAAGTCGATTTCTTGTACCGTTCTCGACTCTTAATCCTTGTCTAATTTCAGTTTCTTTTGACGTTTCATTAAATTATTAGAGAAGGAGACGATTCGTTGTGCCGTTCTCGACTCTTAATCCTTTTTCTTCCAACGTCCTCTTCCTTTCTTTTTTTTCTCTCTCTCTCTCTTTTTGTGCCGGCGTTTTTTTTTTTTTTTTTTTGGGGGGGGGGGGGAGGGGGCGACCGCCCCAACCGCCCCCTGCCTTTTTTTGCGCTTCGCGCTTAACATTTAGCTCGTTGCTTTTTAACGCTGCGGCTTTGCATTTGGAACTGCATTTCTACTGTATGATGCTGTTGATTGAATAAATTGAATAAATTGATCAATTCCTGATGAAGCCGTATGAGCGAGAATTCAATTTCTTCTTGTCTCATATACGGTTGTCTCATTTACGAATGTATTATGAAAATGAGATAGCAAAATGTGTATATTTATGGTCATCTTGCGAGTAATAACCATTAACTACTATCATCGGGCCCTCATCATTAATTTTTCTCTTTATTTTTTTTTTGATGGTAAATTTTTTTTTTTTTTTTGGGGGGGGATCGATACCCATATTCCAGATACAATCCGAGTAATTATCAAAAATCCTCAACATTTCGAATCTTAAAAGAATCATTGCAGTAATTTACATGATAAATGATTAAATTAGGAAAGGTAGCTGTTAGTGTTAGAACTACAGAATTGTCAAGACATGAAATCGATCATCAAACTCATCGCATTTGTACCAAGCTTTTTCTGACGGGATAGCCTCGAACACTTGTACATCGAGAACTTTGCCGCAATGTCACATTTTTGTTTTTCTTTATTTGGTACTATGTAGGCTACCATTTGCAGGCCAAAGAAACAAAAAAGTTAAATTCCTACGGCTTCTCCCAAAGCAAAAGGGCTTGAACAAGTCTTTATGTGGGAAAATACCGACCGTTAATTAGTTGCCGAATCGAATTTTTCGAGCGCCTTCTTTCTTTCTTGATTTGATTTTGTTTGGCAATCAGTCATAGTTGACATTTGTTGCCACACACTATTTATATATATATATACATAATTATGTACAATTACATGTCATAAAGGACTATTTTTAGGATTCTTTCTCTTTCCTGTCGTTCAATCAAATCGTACGTACGTACGTATGTTTTGTGCTGCGCAAAAATTGAATCAGGTTAATTTTGGCCATTACAAGAAGTGAGTTATTGATGTAAACTAGGTGCGTACACAGGGGGGGTTGGGGTTGAACCCCCCCCCCCCCCCCAATTTTGATTTTTTTTTTTTTTTTTTTGGTTTTTTTTTTGGTTTTTTTTTTTTTTTGGTTTTGTTTTGTTTTGTTTTTTGTTTTAATTATCAAAACAAACAAAAACAAAAAAACAAAAAATTATGCCAATGGGTGACCGAAAAAAGGTGACCTTACCCCCCCCCCCCAGCGAATTTTTTTTTCAAATTTTCAAATTTCGAGACCCCCCCCCCCCCCCCCCCCCCCCCCCCCAACAACAAAAAAAGTCTCCATAATTTAAGTACTAGGACACTGCTATCATTTATATTTCACATATAGGACATACGTGACATATTCATAATTCCTTCAAAGTTCTACATAATTTGGCATTGGCTGCAAAAGGGATGCACTACCTTTAAAATCTCTACGTAAGCAACGCAGTTGACCCACTGATCTGTACGGAACCCCCCCCCCCCCCCCCCCCCACCCACGTACAGATCAGTGATCAAGTTGACCCAGTACGCTTTACAAGATTTTATTTGGTGGAATAGAAATGTAAGATTGCAATATAGAACACATTTTTTCTATCCAGTTTGGTATGAAAGGGGTATTCATTCCATTTTTCAATTACATAATGGTTTTGGTAACCCCAAAACATTTGAAGACCTCGTAATTGAGTTTGACATTCCTATTAGAGACCAAAGAAAATATGACTCCCTCATGAATGGCATATTTTTGGAGTGGTTTGATAATTCTCTTAATGTGGATGAGAATATATTTAATCAAATTTTTAAAGATCTATTAAGTCAAAAGAAAATGTCTAAGTATACATAAAATATTTTGCTAAAGAAATATAGTTGTACTAATGCCAAAAGGGAGAGTAAATGGGAGGAACTCTTTGGCCATCAACCCAAAGAGAAGGATTGGTCGATTATTCATACGAGTAACTTTTGTTGCACAATTGAGACTCAGTTAAGGAGTTTTTATTTCAAAATTGTCCATAATGCTATTGGTTTTAATGCATTTTTGTTCAAGATTGGGAGAAAGGAGTCTGCTAATTGTTATTTTTGTTCAGATTTTCCAGAAACTTTAGATCACTTGTTTTGTGACTGTAGGAGAGTTGTACCACTGTGGGAAAAATTGGTGGATAAGATTAACACTGGCACTGATCACAGTTATAATCTGACTCTGTCAAAATTTAATTTTTTGTTTGGGATACAGTCAAGGGACAAATACGCCTCTTGTATAAATTTTCTCTGTTTATGTTTAAAATATTACATTTACTCATGTAGGTTTCAGGGAAAAGAACTTATTTTCGAAGCATTTGTTTCAATGGTAAAGTTCAAACAAAAAATAGAATATAAAATTGCCCAAAAGAAAAATAAGTTACAAGTCCATTTTAAGAAATGGTCTATCAAGTTTAACTGAAATTTAGGAGTAGTCTTGCAAAGCTCTGTTGTCATTAACATCTTCAATGGCTTTTTGAATTGTAAACTTGCCCTCTGGGAAAGTATATGAGTGTGAGTGTGTGTGTGTGTGTGTGTGTGTGTGTGCGTGTTTATGGGTGCATGAGTGCGTGCCTGTTTTGTAGTTTTAAGATGATATTATATTTTATATTGCTGCTTTTACTCTGTTAATTTTTCAGAAAAAACAATAAAAACAGAAAAAAAAGAAAAAAAAAGTTGACCCAGTACGCAATCACCTCGAGCTCTTACGTAACATTTGAATACTCAGAAGTGTATCTCTAAACAAATTTAATGAATGATTAGAAATTAATGCAGATCTACTTGTAATGCTCTCTATAAATGATGCAATATTTGCGAAACATGGTTTACGCGATGTGTGTAAGCTGGAGGGAGTACAATGTGATATCAATTGCGTTTTACTTTTAAGGGATATGAATATCGAGTTCTTCGGAGGACATACTATGTATGATCGAATCTCTTTGGATCTCATGAGAAATTCATTTATCGCTCAATCCAGGCATAGGGTACATTCTCAATCATTATTCCCAAACATAACGGACATGTATCATACATGATGATAAAAAGACCGGGTCATGCATAGAATTCAACATTATGACAGATGAGTCGTGGCGAAGTCCAGTGGCGGATCGAGCCGGCGGGAAGAGGGGGGCCCAATCCGTGAGAAAATATTAGTTGCGACTCAACCACCGGTGAATAAGCGGGGGGGGGGGGGGGGGGGGGGGGGGGGGGGGGGGGATAGGTGGTACTTTTTTTGTGCAATTTTTCAGGAAATATTTTAATTCGACTCAGCCAGCCGGTAAATAAGCGGGGGGGGAGGGGGTGGGTAAGACCACTTTTTTTGTTTTTTGGCCTTCTTCGTGAGAATTTTTTTTTTTTTTAAATAATTAAAAAAAAAAATTAAAAAAAAAAATTGCTGTTGTTGGCCAGTCAGCCCCCCCCCGTGGATCCGCGCCTGCAGAGGATCCATCCGGCGACAAGGGGGGGGGGGATTCAAATCTTAATACAACATTTAGCGTCGACTCAGCCGGCCGGCGAATAAGTCGGGGGGGGGGGGAGAGCACCTTTCTTCTTTCCCTTTTTTGATCGAGTTTTGGAGGAAAAATTTAGCGCCGACTCAGCCGGTCGGTGAATCAATTATTATTATTATTATTATTATTTTTTTTTTTTTTTTTTTTATATATTTTTTTTTAATTTTTTAATTTTTTAATTTTTTAATTTTTTTTTTATTTTTTTTTTTTTGGGGGGGGGCGCTTTTGTTTTGTGTTTTGAAAAAGGTTTACTTCACGTTATTATCCTATTTTTTTATCGCTTTGAGGGGCTAGGGGGGCCGGGCCGGAAAAATCGCTACGTGGATCCGCCCCTGGCGAAGTCGTACGAATATGCCTCTGTTTTGCGACCCCTTTTTATCCGTCACTAAGGCACCTTGTTGACTAAGCTTACGCAACAGCTCATTCTCATTGAGTAACTCAAACTGCATAAAACCATAGACCTACCACCACAAGCAACACACGGTTTATATCAGCAAGCTCCCTGGTAGTCTATGTGCCGGTCATATACATGAAGCAATGACTACTGTAACCGGTGAATGTGTTTAAATACTATCTGTTTGAAATCGTGTGTTTCCTGAACAAAAATGTCTTTCTCGATATTTGGATTCAATGTTTCACTGCCCCTGGTCGGAGCGATAGTTGCTATATTGGTGGGGTAAGTAGACTTTTCTTCTGACGAGCAATCAGGCACATTATTTTGCCTGTCGCCGACTTGGAAAATATATAATTATGATAAGCATAACAAGCCGGGAATCCCAGAATACGTTTATTTTCCAACAATATATATTTACCTTCTTAATTCAAAATATGATTAATGTAAACATTACACTGTTGTTATACAAAAGTCGCGAGACATTTTCCGCATTTCCCTGATAATTATCTAGCCCCGACGGGATACTAACCATAACACATTCACAAACCATCTACAGTACATAGTCAGAGAAATCGATAGCACTGCTGTTATCCCATCGAATTGAACGTTCCACCCAGGCGCGGATCCAGGATTTCTTAGGGGAGGGGGCCCAACTTTTTTTTTTTTTTGCTCCCGAAAATTTGAAAATCGCACCGGCCGAAAAGTCGCTCAGTGGGGGGGGGGGGGGGGGGGGGGGGGGGGGGGGGGGGGGGGGGGGTAAAGAGCACAATTTTTTTTTTTTTTTTTTTTTTTTTTGCTGCCGAAAATTTGAAAAACGCGCCGGCCAAAAATTCGCTCAGTGTGGGGGGGGGGGGGGGGGGGGGGGGGTAGTGAGCACATTTTTTTTTTTTTTTGATCCTCAAAAAAAAATTCTATTTGCACCCCCCCCTTGAGCGCCAGGGGGGGGGGCCCAACCCCAAAAAAAGGTAAAAATCACGTGATTTTACATGATTTTTTTCTCAAGGGGGGGGGGGGCCCGGGCCCCCCGGGCCCCCCCCCCCCTGGATCCGCCACTGGTTCCACCATAGACGTAATACAAATTACGTCTATGGTTCCACGCACAGCATTGACGTTCCACGTTTAATTCGGGTATATAAGCGCCCTTTAGAAATTTGGATCAATGAAGAGAATGTCGTGAAAGGAAAAAGAATCTCCTGATCTGTGAACAACAGTCAACAACTTGTGGGTCAAATGTCAGACATTGGGCAATGAATAGTTCACTTTTTAGATGGTTCTCATTGCATTCTGTTATTAAATATATCGACTACAGATTAAATGTACCTACACTCTTAGAAAAAAGGGTGCAAAAAAGGGTGCAAAATAAGAGTTTGCACCCTTTACATAAAAATGAACCCTATTGAAGGAAAATGGGTTAAAAAAAGGGTGCAATATAAGATTTTGCACCCTTCCCACAAAAATAAACCCTATCGACCAAAAAAGGGTGCAAAATAAAAGTTTGCATATTGCATGCAAATTCATGATTACTTTCCACGTGTTCACATAAAAATACATTTATCATGATTTTTTAAGCAAATTATGACAATGCACATAGATTTTGTGATTTTGTATTTTCCTTTGGCAATCACTAACCAATAGATTATTTTGTCTGATCATGTTACAATTACATTCACGTTTTAGCAATATATATATTGATTATATGATTACTAACCAAAACACATCATGCATGTTTAATATGTATTTGTGTACGAGCAAATTTTACCAGTATTCCTCGATGATGGGTGCAGGATTGCACCTTTTAAAGGGTGCAGGATTGAACCCCTAAAGGTGCTGCTATTGCATCGGTTTGCACCCCTAATGGAGCAGGATTGAACCATTAAGGGTACTAACATGTCTCCTAAAAGGTGCAATCTGGCACCCTCTTAAAGCGTGCAGGATTGAACCCATAAATGTGCTGCTAATGTTGTATCGGTTTGCATCCCTAAATGTGCAGGAACGAACCATAAAGGGTACTATTTCCCCTAAAAGGTTCAATCTGGCACCCTTTTAAAGGGTGCAGGATTGCATCTTTAAAAAGGGTGCAAGATTTAACCCCTAAAGGTGCTGCTATTGCATCGGTTTGCACCCCTAAAGGTGCTTACTTGCACCATTTTTTCTTAGTGTGTATATAGACACCCCCCCCCCGATTTTGTTAATGAAATTGCGTCAGAAATCATAAGCATTGTACATGTCCATGTACAACCTGTCTTAATAGATGGGAGGAGAGAGAACTAACCATGAATGTTCGCAAAGGGGTGTCTTAATGTTTATACAACAAATTACCGTAATTTGCATATTTCTAATCAGAAAGGTAAATATGAACCAGAATGACTTTATACTCTGAGTCCAAACTCTATGGCCCGAATTCTCGTACGTCATATGACGCGTTTTACGCGTTTTTTACAAACCTGGTTTGTAAAGAACAAAAGGAGGTTTGGCGAAACAAAAGGAGGTTTGAGCTCAAACCTTGCTTTGTGAATTCGGGCCTCTATGATGTACCAAGACTTTGAAGGATAAAAAATCTCAGGCAATTTAGCCTTTTCCATCAACTATTAAAATATGCGAATATTACGATGAAGTATTACATAATCAGAGTTTTGAAGTTGCTCTTCAGTTGATTTCTGGAAAGCCTTTGCGATCATGTTAATCAAGGGATGATCTAGCCACACTTCCATGTCGCCTAGTTCTTTCAATTAAAATAAAACTGTACAACATCATTCCATTCAATTTAGGTAATATCATATTCATGTAATTCATATTCATTGTTTTTACAAAAGTGTTTTTGTTTGTTTAATTTCAATTTTTATTGCTTTACTGTCATGTCCAAGTGCTTAACAAACCCGTCACATAAAAAGATTTGTTTAGGGGAGGCGGGAGGGGGCGACTAGTTAACTTAAATATCATACAAAGGCATTATACATCTATTTAGACAGTTTTCATCAGTTATTACCTTAAGAAAGGCCTTGAAAACACTTTTTTGGGGGCAGTTCGTAGTTGTAAGATTGTTTTTCTTATTACATGTATTTATGTTATTGTCATTATTTTACTGTAAGCGGTTTGGGCCTAGTGGGAAAAGTGCGGTATAAGTAATAATAATAGTAATAGTAATAATGATAATAATAATAACAATGAACATATTCTTAATGATACACTATTCTATCTCACCAGCCGCGAGCTATGGAACCTGACATACTTCTGGAGAAGAGGAATAAAATGCTCTAGACCCTTACCATTACTTGGCAATATTTTATCCTGCACAAAGGTACAGTCAAACCTGCTTTAGTGACCACCTGTCTACAAAGACCACATTTTTTGTTTCCCTTGAAAATAGTTTCTCATTGAAATATGTCATAAAAGGAACTGTACGTAAAGACCACCTGGCTATAAAAACACTTTTCTTGTCTCCCTTGCGTGGTCCTTATAGACAGGTTTCACTGTATATTGCTATTGAAGAAACTTGATCAGAAAATTAAAGAGATGGCGGATGGGAGGTGAACAATAAAAACAAGTGTTCCAAGAATGTATTTTTTAATGACATCACTTCCTTTCAATCTTTGAAACAAAATTAACAAAATAAAACATTCATGAAATTCAAAGTTCTGCTTCAAGAAGATGTGAGTTAACATTGCTGAATAGATAACATGAAGAAACAAAAACTTCTGCATAAACTTTTTTTTTATCGCTCAGTGATCGTTTAAAATTCTGTTGCATGGTTATTTTAAAATTAAGATCAAAATTAATGATTTCTTCTATAAGTTTAGAGTCCACTCATTTCATTGCTACTAACATTTTATTTTGTTTTGGTTTGGTTTGTTTACAGGGATTTTACTCCTATATCTATACATGCCAACAGAACTACGGTAACATCTTCGGGTGAGTACACAATTCAATTAAAGATGACCGATCTCCCATACTCCCACAAAATATTTATTTTTCAATACTAATTTGAAAGGCTACTCAGAATTTAACTTCTTTTCAACTTATGGGCCCGCATCAGGTCTTCAGAAGTGAGTCTGAACATGGAACATGATTAAAGGCAGTGTATTTTACTGACATCGCTGCCACTACTGTCTTTCAATTTGTTCCATCTTTCGTTGAGGGCGTACATAATAGAGCGATTTCCAGTTTATATGTATACCCAAGCTGGCCAAGGACCATCACGCGCGCTTTATTCATCACTTTGACATTTGTTTTGTGACAAAATAAATGAGCGATTACTCCTATTTTGTAGAAATATACAGAGAAGCATAAAGATAATAAAGCATACATTTCCAATGAAGAAGGTATACAAATTAGACAAAAAGAAGAAGAAGAAAAGAAGAAAAAGAAGAATGAGGAAGAGAAGAAGAAGAAGAAGAAGAAGAAGAAGAAGAAGAAGAAGGGGAAGAGGAAGAGGAAGAGGAAGAAGAAGGGGAGAAGATATAAAGGCTAAAAATTAATTATTTTTTCTTCTTCACAGTCTCTACTTCTTTCGGAGTCCTTTGATAGTTGTTTGTGATCCTGATGTGTTGAGAGATGTACTCGTTAAAAGTTTCTCCAAGTTTTCCAATCATTACGTAAGTAAAATCTCTTATGTATGACAGACATTATTAAGTGGTGGATCCATGATTCTCTGGCAGGCGCGGAACAAGTGAAATAAATCTATGACAATTGGGGAAAAAATGGTGTGTCATCTGGGGTACAAAATTCTCTGAATAAAAAGGTGTGATCATAATTATCATAGTTCTTCTTTTCTTCCTCCCTTTCCCCCTTTTGGCTGTGGGGGGGGGGGGGGAGGGGCACATTACCTTGAGCCCATGTATCCGCCACTTGTTTTGAAGGGGCAACTTTCATGCAATGGGGGAAATTTATAAACATAAAGAGTCTGATGATTATTCATGATTTGAGAACATCTCGTTTAAAAAAAATCCCCAATCTTTGAATGCGTTTTTTAATAATGGAGTCAAACCGTTTCAGAGAAATGAATTAAAACACTGTGAACTGTTGAGTTAAAGTCATTCATTTTCATTGTTGGGATTGTCTTGTTACATTGTATGTATGGAAATAAGCCAATATATAGGTGTTTGTAATATCCTCTACTTTTTGAATAGAAAGCAATCAAAATGAATGAAAGAATGCAAACAATGTAATTTAAAGAAAGCATTAATATTTCCCCTGTTAAGTTTAAAGTTATTAAATTACCCTTGTCTATGATCTCTTTGTTATAGCAATTCTTCCTGAAGAACAGACCATTAGATCAAGGTCTACTGGATCTTCGTGATCAGCGATGGAAGGATGTCAGGAGCGTTATATCTCCAACATTCAGTGCTCTCAAGATGAAACAGGTTTATACGCACAACTTTCTTCTTATCCCACTTATGTACAAGGTGGACAATGAATAGGTTATTTTTCAAACATGTTCGAAATTGTTTGAGAGATGTACAGAATTCAGTAGGATTGGGTTATATGTTTCAGGGAACTATGCGGTTGTTGAAGAACTTTCGTGACTTTTTACAATGCTCTCCCACTGAATCCTTTACATTTGGGACTATATCAAATATAGCGTGTGTATGTTTTTCATCATTATAAACACTAAACTTATACTTTGGTAATTCAACTTTACAAATCTTATAATGATTCACAGATACTCAGTTTGTTAGAAGTCTGTATTGAAGGTTAGTGATATCCTCGACTGAACAATAATATATTTATTATGAATTTTATAATTTTTTTTTTTTTTTTTGGAGGGGGGGGGGGGGGGTGTTTTTTTGCGATGTGATGCATCTAATTTCAAACATTGATTTTCAATTTAGATGTCTCCTGTGATTAATGAATGCTGTGATGTTCTGGTGACCAACTTGAAAAAGAAACAAGGCGAAGACATAAACGTTAACAGGTATACATTCATCAGGGTCATTAATCATTACTACCATAATAATTGCAGTTGTATGAATAAGTCAAGTGCCATTTCACACCCTATATCATATCTCCCATATCAATCACGTTGTAATGATTGTACAATGCAATAGGTGATGGACAAGGCCGTTGGAACTTTCAGTCATATGGTTCATTTTTCGAAAGTCTTTGCGATCGCGCAATGTACATCAAATCATATACAATACTTGATTTGAATCAATCGCAACTTTTTATAAGATGAGGCCCAGATCATTCCTGCTTGTGATAGTACATAGCTGGACTTGGTACTATACTATATGCTAAATTTTCTTTAAATGAAAGATATCGGCAAAGCTACGACAACATCTTTTTACATCCACACCATTCCCTTTTGTTCCTAATTTGTATACCTATATACCTAATTCTCTTTGGGGGGGGGGGGGGCTGTGTCTCTTCTTTTTAAAACCTTAACTATTTATAGATCCTGCGCTAGATAAGGGCATCATTCTGTCAATAGATGGATATCACTAATACCTCCGGCAAACTTTGATTTTAATTTTTTTAATTTTTTAATTTTTTATTCTTCGGCTCATATTTATAAAGGTGGACCTGGTTTAACTTGGTCCTCTGATCTACACATAGTCAAGTTTCGAGCTCTTTTATTTTACTCGGATAGAAATAAAGAACAAAAACGGTAATCTGGTCTTGAGGAGGTTGACATATAGCGATCCAAACACCAATGGACTAACCATACCCACTTGGTCCTAGAATAACGCTTCCCCGCTATTATACCAGCCCTTTTCCCCTGTACTTTTTCGTTTAACTAAGTCACACCGTCAAACAACTCTAAACTGATTAAAAAACCGATCAAGTTATGGCTGTTAGGATGATGCATTATTGGGTTTGGTCTGTTGTCGATCTGGTGTCGGTCTCGTCGGTGTGACTGTGGTATTACTGTGGTATTACGTGGCGATGGCCAATTATACTATTTAATTCCAAATCATACCAACGAGTCCAACACTAGACCGATTACAGACTCCAAAAGAGAAGAAGTAAATTACCCCAGTTGCCTAAAACCAGTCAGTTTGCAGTCGGCGAGGAGTCGGTTTGGTGTTGTGACTGTCATATAAGGCTTGTAATGCCTAGGTTGTCAAGTCTGACGATTGGTTGTGTGCCTCAGTTTGTGTTGGAATTAAATTAAGGAAATGATTCAAAAGCGACTGCTGGTTAATGCATGTTTACACCATTCTTCCACAGCGTATTCGAAGCATTCACAATGGACGGGATTGCTAAGTGTGCCTTTGGACTGCAAGTGGATTCCCAGAATAACCCAGATGATCCATTCGTCAAGCACGCCAAACGGATCATGGACGGTACTGTTGAAAGTCCTGTTGCGATGATAGCAGGTTGGTGCATATCTTTTCTACTGAATCGGGATTTCTTTGAATTCTGAGACCACCTTACAGAACCATGGTAATTGTGAAAGATAATGGCTGACGCGCCTGGTACACATTTCAGAAATTACGGTGATAATTCAACTGTTCATCAGCTTCTGTTTGATGGCCAGCCACATGTGTGTGTTCTCATCAAGAAGGTGACTTGTATCTACAAAAAAGCTTAATCAAATGTATTAAAAGCGTTTTCCACAATTAAAATTCTGGTGTTGTTTTTTTGTGCAGGAGTTTTCCCACCGGCCGCGTATCTGTTTAATGCTCTAGATATCGCCTTGTTTCCTGCCGAAACAAGGAAATTCTTTAGAGATGTTGTTGTGAAAGCAATCGAATTGAAGAAACGCTCTGCTGGCAATGAGGTGGGTTTACAATAATTATTTTTCAACTCTGTTTCATGATGTTAAGAGAAGAAGAAGGGGTAACTCTTCAGAGGAAACAAATTCTGAAGTAAGCCTACTTTGCTGTTCGGACAGGATTCCTTTGTCTTTGAACGATTTGTTCATAATCAAGTAAACAATAGGAGTGGGGCTTATGTTCTTAGATTTCTTTTCATGGATTTGGGAGGGGGCAGCCAATACAGCTTGAATTGTGAATAAAAAAAGAATATTTGAAATCGATTGCATATTAAAACATGTTAATTAATTGGCTTGTAAATCAGTTATTAAAATATAATGATTATAAATTATGTATGTTAGTTTTTAACATAACACTGCTAACTAAATTGGCAAATAACCTAAGATAATTACAGCAACGTACGATGTTCTTGTATTCTAGAGGAGGGATTTTCTGCAGCTGATGATGAATGCCCACAACGATGACGAGCATGACAGCAGGTCAAAGGTCATCAAGGACGACAATGATCTCCATAATCTGATCGAAGACCACCAGGACAAGCATGTCTCCAACGCTCAAAACACCAAAACTCAACTGACCATGGATGAGATATTTGCTCAGGTATATATAAACCAGTGGAAATATGAAATGGTAAAGATGTGGTACTTGTGCACCCGAAGCGCTTATGGCATAGAGTGAGTTCACCCGTGGATGGGGCACTGGAATGATTGGACGAATGGGAAGGGGGCACCGAATTTATAAGGCTATTGACTACTTAGGGACGGGTGCTGGAGGTGGTCCAAGGGTCTTCTTTTCTCGTCTCTATCCTCTTTTCCCTTTTCTTGCCTTTTTTTAGTTCTGTTTTTCACATCACTCGATTGGATGGAGGCACTGGGCCCCGCCCTTAACCCATGTAGGTATACCACTGTCTGTTCCAATATCCCTTTCCACAGTACATTGTTAAAAGCAAGCAATATTATCAGTCTTAGATAGCATTTTTGTACAATTCTTCCATTTAAAAAATCTAGGCTGTATTATTCTTTGTTGCCGGTTACGAGACGACCAACGTCACCCTTGGTTTCCTAGCCTACGCCTTGGCAACCAATCCTGACATCCAGGACCGGCTGATCGAAGAGGTGGATGAAGTGACACCAACCAGAGACTCGGTCGACTACAACTCCATCGCAAAGATGTCTTTACTGGACATGGTGGTCTGTGAGACACTCAGGTTATATCCACCAGCAGTTATGTAAGTCAAGCATTATATTCTTTCTAAATCGATATTCCTTTAACTTGGAGAAGGATGGGTTTGGAGAGAAATTTAATATTTTTGTTTTTATTATCTTGACAGTAAGTGCATCCCACTTTTAATTTAAACGACATCTTATTCAACCTAGGACGGACAAAGAAATTCTAAAATGAAAGAGGAACTTGATTAAAGCCCATTTGCTAGATGTCAAGATGGCAATGATATATATAGAGAATAGAACGTAGACAATTCATCTGTTGGATATATAACTTCTAGTTAGCCGTTTACTTGAAATCTACTGTTTCATGATTCCATATGGTTTTAAAGAGCAAGGAAATCATAATCGTAATTTCTGGTTAAAGTTTAATCCAAACATTACAGCCGTCTCTAATCACATTTGAGTAAAATTCTTCCAAACTGAAATAAAGGGGATTAGAATACCCACAAATTATTTCCACCTTTATCTGATTTCAACTTTCTCTTTAATTGGCAGGGGTGACCGATGCTGTAGTGAAACACACACCGTTAATGGACTGACCATCGAGAAGGGTGTTCAATTCCTCTACTCCATCTACAACATCCAGCGTGATCCCACTCTATGGCCTGAACCGGAGAAATTTGACCCATCAAGGTATGTTTTTTGTAAAAGAATTCTTCTTTTATAATAATGATACCGATGATGAACGTTAGGTACCCTTTAAATGTCACTAAACATGCTAAATCCATTTGTTTATAGAGCGCCCTCTGTCTCTTCATCCACGGAGCATTGGTGCATAATATCACAGATTCTTCAACTTATTTTGTGCATATTTTCGAGATAAATTTTTTTCCGTAATGAAGTTTATGAAAACGGTAGTTTTCTAAATTTGGTGCGGCACTTTTGAGTTTTCAAATTATGATAAAAAGTAAAGAGGATAATAAATATATGATGGTACAAATACACACAAATATTTTAAGAATTGAATATAAAGTGTTCGTTATTCTAGCTAAAATTATAGAAACATCCAACTTCCAGGTTTACCAAAGAGAATCGTGCTAATCGTCACCCGTTTGCTTGGATACCATTCGGTGCCGGACCAAGGAACTGTATCGGGATGCGGTTTGCTCTGATGGAGATCAAGATGGCCGTAGTTCGTATCCTCCAGAAATACCGCTTCGTACCAAGTCCTAAAACAGATGTAAGATGATCAAACAGTTTTTACAATGACAAAGATTCTGGAACAGTTGGACACTTTGACCAGCTGGTATAACTAAGGGATTATGACTCTTTTCTCAGTATAACTAATAGTCATTTAGTAACATCAAGGAGTTACAAACTTCCAAAGTAAGTTCTTGGTAACATTTCTTGGGAATGCAGTAGGGCATCGAGATATTCATAATTAGAGGGCGAAATATATACCTAATATTTTCTCTGTCTATGCTGGGTATGCCACTAACGACAATAAAATGTTGAAGTTCCAGCAAATATTGATTAGCAACATTTAACTAATAACAATTGTAGATTTCCATTAGCATGAGATGAAAGGGATGTGGTGGTTTTGGATCGGGTTCTCATTAGGGATCTGATTTACAACACACAAAGCTATGTTAAGTAGTGGTTATTAAATTGAACTTTAAGAGAAGCCCTCTTGAAACAGTTCTTAGTGTCGAATTTTACAAAACTATTGAAGCTGGTCGGGTATAGATAGAGAAAAAGGGTCATAATTTTCTATTTTGATAGGATTGCTTTTAACAGATTGTTTTTCTCACCTTTCTAGATCCCTGTGAAGTTTGGTACTGGAAACACTCTGAAACCAGATGGCGGTATCTTTCTCCGAGTCGAAGAGCGCCAGTAAATTTCATTACAGGATAAACTTTACGGACACGGAACACAATTAACATGATTGCAAAGATTTTCGAAAATTAAATCAAGGGCAATTTCAAGAAACTTTTGTAATGCAATTAGAAATCATGTAATGTTAAAAAAATGTCATTTGTCAAAAGGTGATGCAGGAGGCTATATTGGAATTGCCTTTTGCTGATTTTTAGAAAGTTCTTACGATCTCTTGACAAATGAACCTGAGCCAATACTATTCGCAGGGTAATACTATTAGTAATTTTCGTAACTTTTGGCATTACATCTATCAAGAACCTGTGGTATGAAGAATGATGTACATGATGTATAATCTCTCATCAACAAAATTAATATGTTATCATTTTCCAAGTATAAATACTTCCATGTAATTATAATATGAGATATATTATACAAGGATGTTCTTATCATAATTTCAGAACAGCGAATCAAATCAAATCAAATCAAGTCTGAAGCTGTGAATGAAATAGCCATAGTGCATTGTGATAGGATTAAACTTTCCCATTCTGTAAAGCATGTAGTCTTCTTCAAGCCGTATATAAACTTCCTCATAATTATTTCGGATTTTAGGGTATGTTCAATGTAGTAGTAGGTAGCTGCGAGATATTTTGTTAGATTTCAAAATGATATTTTTTGCTATTAAAAGGTAATATGTAGATGTTTTCTTTGCCAACTTTTGCACAATGTGTTACATTTTCAATATATTTCCATTTTGTAGCGTTGGTAGTCAATTTTGTAGTTTTATGTGATTTGTATAGCAGAACATGATTTTAATGCAACTTATTGTTAAAAAGACAGGTCTGTGGCCTGGCACAATAAGCCCGTGAGCTAACTGCTTTCATTTTCGATTTTACAAATTCTGATATGTTATGTTTATTTTTTTTGATAGAATCTCATACTCTGTATACAAAATTGTTTTTCAATATGAAATAGAATAGCAATTTGAAAACCTTGCTGTTGAGTGAAATGATTTAGTATTATTGTCGAAGGATGAACTTTATTACTTCCTGATAGAAGTCTTTTGGAAACGTCTTTGAATCTGCGATTGGACAGAAGATTTGCAAGAACAAAAAAATAAATGGAAAACAGAGAATGAAAGTGCATCTATCATGCAGAATCTAAATTAAGAGAATAATGCATATTCTGTAATATGCTATATATTCATAGAGATAGTGAAAGTCTATTAAATTGAAAATATATCAACTAACGGATGTACATCATAAGAACGTGATATATCAATATAGTTATAGATATAAAATATGTAATGCTATGATTTAGACTGTGAATGAACGTGATTGAGATGGATTATTTTCCCCTGCATTAGAAATATAAAAGAATAAATCACTATCTAGAGAAGACATCTATGGCTCAGACTGATGTTTGTTTCGTAAGAGGAGAGAGAATGAGGAAGAGAGAGAAAGAAAGAGAGAGAGAGAGAGAGGGCGGAGAGATAGAGAGAGAGGGGGGGGGGGAGGGGGAGAAGGTAAGAAAAGAGGCGTTACCGATTATTAAAGAGAAGATAAAAGATACAGGAACAGAGAAGGGAAAAATAACGACAGAAAGACATATTTTAGAAAAGAAAAAGATTCATAGAGAAAGATAGAGAATAAGATACAGAGCAATAAAGAGGGAGGGGAAGAATATCAAGTTAAAACTCCCAGTGTTTTAAGGCAACAAAATAAATAGGCTACACGTAATTTGTATTAAACAGGTCTATATTGAGAAGACATGAGGTACTCCAAGATAATCAAGGTTAATTTGCATCGTGAGAGAGCGATATGGGATACCCAAAAGAGAAAGGGAGAGGAATAGTATGAAATGGGGAAAAACAGGTAAATTTAGAAGAAAGTAAAAATGGAATTACTATTAATGAACGCATTGAACATAATTATAGGGCTTATTTTAACGATAAAAATGTCGGCATAAATTTAAATTTCATCCCTCCCATAACATACAAAAATTAGCTAGTCAGCGTATTCACAAAAGCAACTTGGTAAATTAGTTCTTTCTTTACAATCAAAAGAAAACTTATCTGTTTCGGCGATCACTAGCCATGCTGCATCTTCTTCAGACATGAGATGTAGGAAAGTGATTTACAAAAGTAGCTTACCTACTGTATATCCCGCATATAGCTCATCATCCATCACCATCATATTTTATGTCAAAGTTCAGGTTTCGTTTCTAGCTACTTAAATTTTCCATATTTCTTTTTTCTTTTTGAAAAAAACACATACATACTTTTATGTCTGTTTTGTTTTAATGCATACGGGATAGCATCGAGCTCTACAACGGATGGAATACTATCGCAGAATTAAAGTATATCGACAAAAGAGGGCACATGTCTGTTAATTCGAGCTTGCTCTTTGAGTTTCTGTGCTACCCCCTCCCTCGCCACAATTGCCACAGATTTTTTTTAACGGGCACCACATAGAATGAATCACAGAAAATTAGATAAAATAACATAAAGTATACAATTCATTGCAATTTCTATAACGCACTATGAGTGATGGGCAGTGTAGGGGGGGGGGGGGGTGTAGGGGTGCAGAGTGGGGTGTGTCCAGTGGCATAGGCCTATCCAGACTTTGACCCCATGAGGGGCGGACGTCTCAGGTTAATGTGACCTACGGACTCTACTAATAAAAACATTTTTTGAGGGCCCTGGTTTGCGTTACAGTGGGGGGGGGGGGGGGGTCGAAGAAAATGTATGTCTTTATTGAATGTGTTTGCATTTCGTGCGATTTCAAACATGTATATATACCCGGATATAAACTCTCACAGTTATACAAATGATTCCCTAACCTGTTAACTACTCAACGTCTAGTATATACAAAGCGAATGCATTTTGTTCTTGGTCGGATATCTATTAGGAGGGGCAAAGTGCCCCTTACCCCTTCTTCAAATACGCTCGTGGGTGTGTCAGAAGAGTTGGTGAGAGGTGATGCCTTTAGCTTTTATTAAAAACTTAGTAAGATGGGAAGAGACAAAGAAGAGGATAAAATGAAGAGAGAGATAGGGAGAGAGAGAGAGAGAGAGAGAGAGAGAGAAAGGGGGGAATTGGATAGGGGAAGAGAGAGGAAAGATATAAAGTGAATGGTTCTTACTTGGCCAACACGCAACATATTGGTAACATATCGTCCAATTACCGCCCTCGTTTGTCAGTGTGGGCAGTGATGAATGAATGAATGAATGAGAAAGCGTGATCATTGGGTCGCTGCTCATGCCTACCGCGCTAGCTGGGTTTAAACATAATTGTCACAGTCACGATCATATCTTGTCCCGTACGAGGTTTGGGCAACACGGACCATCATCCTACACCCGTCTCCCTCTCTCTCTCTCTATCAGCTCTTCATTAGATCAGCTATTTAGACCCATCACCGAGTCGTCCATCTGGATTTGATTATGTCTTTTTGATTTGCGTATGATGATGAAATGAACTCTGAGTGACATTGGGGCGTAGTGGTTTGTAGTCGACGGATGCCTTTCAGTAGTTCGTTAGAAGCTCTCAGTGAACGGACGTACATCCAGAGCAAAGGATTAGCTACCAGATTTGTCCATATAATAACTTCTTCATCAGTTCGCACACTTCACTTTGATCAGCATGCTTCAGGAGTTCTCTGATCTCTTTACCGTGTTCATCGTCCTCTGATTTGGGAATAATACTTTAAAAACTTTATAGGATTTGTTTTAAAAACTTTTCCAACTATTTCTGAAATTATCATCTAAGGATTGATCGTCGATCTTCTCCTATCTTCTTTCCTGAAGTCGGTCATTAACCCTATTTTATTCGGAAGCATGTACAGATCACGGGAGGCAAAGGTGGAACCTCAGTGAGCTTACCAACTTACCCAGAATCAATACTATTGACAAGTCAGACAGGTGACTACGGCACGTCCACGCTGAAATTAAAATAAATCTCTCCTGGATTTTAGTGAAAATCCATCGAAGCTTGGTCGAATCTGCTGGTTTATGTGGTGAAACGAGACGAAACTCAGTCATTCTTGATAGCAAGCCGTTGGACATTGATTCGTAGTTCTTTATCGAGATGATGTCGAGGTGCTTGTGGGCTGTGGTGGCCCTGTTCGCTGGCTTCCAGCTGGCGACGTCGATGAGGTACCAGACTACGGGTACAACCAGGCAAGCCACATACCGATACGTGTATCCCGCCAACCGTGTTATTACTGGGTGAGTCATGAACACGAGATGCTACCATACCAACCTCATGTTGGTCTCATAATTTTCATAAAAACCTCATCTCAGGCATCATAAAGAATAACCCCAAACCAAAACTGTTTCCTTTCTCTATGATTGACAGGCAATATCGTCATTATAAGCATGATAGAGCAGAGAATTATGATAGCCATGTATGGAGAAGGTGATATTTATTGAGAATAAACTGTTTCTGGTGGTCATGATTTAAATACTAAGGACCTGGGATATAGAGGTGAGAACATTTTATGGAAAGTTCAAATGAGATGACTTATAATGCAATGCAGGAGAGAGACATAAAGTGGGAGAAAGAGACAGAAAAAGGGAGGGAGAGAGAGAGAGAGAGAGAGAGAGGGGAAAGAGAGAGAAGAGAGAGAGAGAGAGAGAGAGAGGGGGGGGGGATGGTATTTCTACTTTTGACAAACTAGAATTCTTAAATTAATTGTACTCGTTGATCTGATTAGTTTTAAAATAATTCATTTTGAGACGAAAAACTGTTGGTCGGACTTCCTTTAGAGATTAATTTAAATCACTCAAAATCAACATCAACCGCCAACATTGAACATGATCTCGGACAAAAATTTGGTATAATTTGGACAACCGAGTTGGGGTGGGGGGGGGGGGGGTAGAGGCATGTAAGCGGGTTCTACCCAAAATACTCATGAAGGATTATTTGGGGATTATTTTGTTCTTTTGTATTCATACTTTACCTGTCGATAGATAAGCTCCATGAAGGTTGTCTCGATAAGGAATATTTTGAAAGCGAAAGGCTGATAAACAAGAGTGGTACTATACCGACGCCAGAACAGTCCCGCTTCTTGTTCTGTCCAGTTTAAAACCAATGAATAATTTGCCAGACTTGCTTGTGGGACAACTCGAGAAGAAATACACAGTGAATGTAGTGACTGCATGTGCACAGTGACGAATTGAACCAAGGAGTTAGAATTTCCTTGATTGAACATTGTTTGCATGGGTTGCTGTATATGGTTTATATATGATAGTAGTCTGGTGATTAGGGTAATATCAGCCCATCACAGCAGACATTAAGCCAATATTTTGCCTTACAATCTGTTGTTAATCGTCTATGTTTCATTTGCAATATCCATGCATAGAAGTGTATAATTATTACGAAGATCATATCTAAGAACGAGCTAATATGATTTAAAAAAAAGTTAAACTATTCGGCCGATCCAGGGTTGTCAGACGGGGCAGGGGTCGAAATATTTGAAAACCGCAACATTTCACCATCCCTGGGAAATATGGTGAATGGCTTTTTAATTTTATTTTAAGGGGTTTACAATTATAGGGTTGGACGCGGGAAAAAGAGTGATTTGTCTATACAACCTCATCTTTTCAATAAGTATCTCGTGTTTACTTAGTGAGATCTGTATAATCTTCTGAGACCTTCAAGATCAGTCAAAATACAATACAGGCAAGAAATAGATAATGTAGGCTTTTAATCTTAAGATGATTCCACTTTGCCGATATTTGGCCGAATACGAATTTGTTTATACAGGATGAATGAGATTCGATGTTTGAGAAAGAAGAAAGACTTCGTTTACATTGACACTTCTTTGAAAAGTTACAAGGGAAGTATCATGCGGCTTTCCCGTTCAGTTTAGGTGTAAAAATACGAGTTTGATTCTTGTGTTGCCTGGTCACGAATCAGTTCCTCACGACTGCGTTTACTTTATATACGAAGCGTTTCTGGTTTCAATTCATCATGACCTTCCTATAATCAGAAAGTAGTAGAAATCATGATTCTCACCGCGATTTGAACTGTATTTGAGGAGGCTTTACCTTAATAAAGAAATCATATCGTCTTTTTTTTTAAACGAAGGTGTTAAGTTTTAAAATATGAATATGAACTTCACTGGGTACGTCAAAACATAAGAGATATTGTCGGCTCAATGCAGAATGGACACTAACGTCATGTACCGTGTCAAATCGAAAAGAAGAGAGAGAGAGAGAGAGAGAGAGAGAGAGAGAGGGGGGGATACAATTTGAATGTTTTCCCTTTAAGCTTGCTAGGTATAGGCATGGTATAGGGAAGGAGGGTGTGGGGGTATTGCTAGGAAGGAAATGGTGGAATGAATGTTTGTTTGGGTTTCATGTGTAGTATGTTATTTGCATTGTGCTTTTCCCCCCAATG